GTAGTGACCCCCCCCCTTTTCATGATGAACTAGGGGGGGGGGGGGAGGGGTTCGAACCGGTAGTGACCCCCGCCGGTTTTCCGCCAGCAGCGGTAGAACACGCTCTTTCAAAAGTTTTGACGCTCCCCTGGCCATCGCTCGGACGTCCATTCCCTCTGTTTTTTTCGGTTTCGTGCGTGGTCTTTTCGCCAAATGATCAAGGATGCTCCTCGATGGTCCTCGCCGAAGGAAAAATGCACACGTCCGAGCGATGCCAAGTCCCTGGGCCCGGCGAAGGGCCCCCCGGGAGCCGAAAGCAACGGAAACCTTGGCCTCCCGATTCTTGCTCCACGACCCGGGGAGGCTGGGGGCCCAAGCGCCCAGGGAGGTCTGGACTCCTTCCCCGGGACCCGTTTGCTTCCCAACCAACCTGTGTTGATGGGTCCTCGTTTTGAAGAGACGGTCCCTGCGTTCCTCCTCCTCCTCCTCTTCCTCCTCCTTCTCCTCCTCCTCCTCCTCCTCTCCTCTCCTCTCCTCTCCTCTCCTTCCTCTACTCTCTTACTCTCATTCCTCTCCTCTCCTCTCCTCTCCTCTCCTTCCTCTTCCTCTCTCTCTTCTCCTCTCTTCCTCTCCTCTCCTCCTCCCCCTCCTCCCTCCTCCTCCCCTTCTTCCCTGCTTTTCACCCACCCAGTACAGCGTTTCGTGGCCCCATAGGGAGCTCCACCGAAGGCCCCAGTGCCCCGGGACCAGTTTTTTTACGACGGCATCGGAGCAACGAACAACACTTCACAGAGTGTGATGTGAAACCGATGGGTATCCCCACGTATTTCCCATGTTGTACAATGATGTGCTCGCCGCTGCAGCGCAGGGACTGCCCCTTGCCTTCCGGCCGAACGCTGCGCACGGTGCTGCGCACAGGAGCGGGCAGTCAAGGCACCCTGAACCGTTCTTTGACGCTTCCGGGGCCCGGCGAGCTCCCCCCCAGAGGCCGAAAATAACGAAAAACCTCCCATACAGACTTTTTTAACACCGCCGACGCCCAGAGGTCTGGAACCCTTCCCCGGAACTGGTTTTACATCCCGGATCGCTTTCTGCCGCTCCCCGGGGCCCAGGCGGGGCCCCTGGAGGCCGAAGGCAGCGAAAACCCTGGCATCCTGACTTTTTCACGACGCGATCGTGTCTGGGAGGGCATCCTTGGTAAGACTGCCCATCCTCGCCACGTGGGCTGACGGCAGCCAGAGTGGCCAAGGGTGGACCGATGGGGGCAGGGATGCAAGGGTACCCTTGAGGAGGAGGAACAGAGGAGGAGGAGGAGGAGGAGGAAGCGGAGGAGGAGGAGGAGGAGGAGGAGGAGGAGGAGGAAGGAGGAGGAGGAGGAGGAGGAGGAGGAGGAGGAGGAGGTTCTCCTTTCGCCCGAGGCTCGCTCCCAAGCGCGAGGGGCGCGTGCTGGCGCCCGGCCCCCAGGCAGCCAGGCCGCGGAGCGCTGGCGGCGCGGCGGCCCTGCGCCCCGGGCGGCTCGTGGCCCCTCCTCGGACGGAATGCCGCCGGGCGGCGCAGCCCTCGGCTCGCATCGAAGAGGGGGGAGAGGAGGAGGAGGAGGTGGAGGAGGAGGAGGAGGAGGTGGAGGTGGTGGAGTGAGGGAGGAGGAGGAGGAGGAGGATGGAGAGGGGAGGAGGTGGAGGGAGGAGGAGGACGGGGAGGAGGAGGAAGGAGGAGGAGGAGGAGGAGGTGAGGAGTGAGGAGGAGGAGGAGGAGGAGGAGGACGGAGGAGGTGGAGGAGCGGAGGAGGAGGAGGAGGAGGAGGAGAGGAGGAGGAGGAGGTGAGGAGAGGAGGAGGAGGAGGAGGAGGGAGGAGGAGGAGGAGGGGAGGAGGAGGAGGAGGAGGAGGAGGAGGAGGAGGAGAGGAGGAGTGAGGAGGAGGAGGAGGAGGAGGAGGAGGAGGGGAGGAGGAGGAGGAGGAGGAGGAGGAGGAGGAGGAGGAGGAGGAGGGGAGGAGGAGGAGGAGGAGAGGAGGAGGAGGAGGCGAAGGAGGAGGGGGAGGAGGAGGAGGAGTGGGAGGAGGAGGAGGAGGAGGAGGAGCGCCAGTAGCTTCAGCGAATCGGTCGAGCTCAGCCTCGACGCTTCGGCCTGAGCCAGCTGTATGGCCTAGCCGCATTGGGCGGAGGGGGTAGAATCGAGTAATTGCTTGGCATTTTGGCCAATGCCGCTTTCAAAACATCGAGCTGCTGCGGGAGAGTTAACGGGCGTCCATCTTGATGCGAAGCCATCTCCTTGGCAACGTGGTAGATATAGAAACTGAGAGCCGTTACTAAAATAGCATTCTCCCGGGTGAGGTCAAATGCCGGATATTGCGTAGGGAGACCAAGACCGAGGCGGAGAAGGGGACACGGCGAGACGACAGCACGTGGACGACAAACGAGGTGAGTGAGGCGGGGGCACTTTAAATAGTGTGCTATGCTATCGGGGTGCGAACATCCGAAAACACAGCTCCATAAAGTATCTGTAACGTGCATTCGGCCCGTGGTGGTCCATCCCCCCGAAATCGTCTTGAGGTACGGCCAGCGAATGCTCGGAGGGGCCCGGCGCAGGATTTCCCGCACCAGGTCCCATCGAACTCGCATGTTTCGGGGGCAGGACAATCGAACCAGGACCGCAGGCGCCGCCCAATTAGGAGCTCAAGCTTGTCGGGATAGGCAAGACTCGCAAGGGTGCGCGCATAGATGCCTTGCATCTTGGGCCGACGACCCTCCCGGGTGGCCTCGCGCACGGCGATTCGTGCACGGCGCTGGGCGAGGCGAAGCTGCACAGAAGAGAGGGGGCGGTGCGACATCGGCATGGCGGAACAAAGTTGCGCATAGTATTGGACAATCGCCTGGCGAGCGAAGGAGTTGGGAGGAAGGCGCAACGATTTGTGCAGGCCCCACAGCTCTTTCTTCCGCATGGTGTCGCTAATAGGATAAAACTGCGCCACATAAGACGTGCAGGACAGAACCGACGAGTTGTACAATCTGGCAGAGACGTCGGCGGAAGAGGCAAGAGCACCGAGCTCAATGCATCTGCTGCGCCACTTCATGAACGGGACAGCCCATTCATTATCGAGGGTCGCACCTGGTCCCTGTAGGGTTCCCAGATATTTAGCTTTAGGTGCGACCAAAAATTGAGACCAGCTGGGAGCACACAAAGAGAGCTCAGCCTGGACAACGGATTTGACCTCATCTGTAAGGTCAACCCACAGTGGAACGATGACGCACTTGACGGCATGCAGAGATAATGCCGCAACCTGCCGCAGCCGGAGAAAATGGGGCTCAAGGACTCGAACCGTCTGCAAGGCACGGAGGACCGTGCCGATGTCATCCGCGCAGGCTCCGAGAGAACCAAGCTGGTGAGTGGGAAGCTCCTGAGAGAGGAGGCGAAGGAAGGGGTCGAGTCCAAGCGCCCACAACGTGCCACTGAGAGGGCATCCCTGGGCAACGCCCGAGAGGATTGGGATCTCACTCACGCGTTTGCCTCCTACTTTGACATATCCTACCATGCTGGAAAATAATTCGGCAATAGCATGCCTGTATCCGAGAGGAATTTTGAAACGCTCTAACACTTTGCTCAGGTAAGTTCTGTTCAGGCTCGCGAAGGCCGACGAGAAATCAAAACTAATAAAAACTGGATGGTTCGCCGCGGCCCCGGGATCCATTGAAGCGATCCGGCATTCTGTGTCCATGACAAAGATGTGTTTGATAAAATTCCGCCCCGAGATGAAGCCTTGCTGGACCTCGTCGGTGGCGCGCTCGGCCACGCGCTTGAGGAGGAGGAGGAGGAGGAGGAGGAGGAGGAGGAGGGGGAGGAGGAGGACAAGCTAGGTGCGCTCGCGTCATATCTGACATTCTACCCGTCCCTCCCATCCCTTACCATGGCGTAGATACCCTCTCTACTCGCACAGTCGGATGTCGAGCAGGGCAATGATCCCGAAAGGGTACGCGATGCATTGTAGAGCACGGCATGGCATGGCGTAGAAGAGCACCGCAAAGCGTAGTATGTCACAGCATGGCGTGGCGTGGCGTAGTGAAGAATTTAATCATAAAGCTTTGCGACGCAAAGCATGGCATCGCACAGCGGCCCCGAACATCACGTTGCATAGCATGGCGTTGAAGATCAAAGCGTAGCATGGCATAGCACGACGTGGCACTTAAGCACTGCATATCACAGCTTCAGCTGAAGGCATGGCATCGCGCAGCGGAACGCAACCGAGCATTGCATTGCATTGCATGCCGTGGCATGGCACGGGAAATGAGGCCAGCGCTGCAGCGGGAGCACGATTCGGAACGAGCGGAAGCGCGGAAATGAGGCCAGCGCTGCAGCGGGAGCACGATTCGGAACGAGCGGAAGCACGGAAATGAGGCCAGCGCTACAGCGGGAGCAAGATTCGGAACGAGCGGGGCCCGAAAATGAGGCCGGCGCCTCAGCCAGAGCAGCATTTTGAAACAAAATGCAAGCGAACACCCAACTCTGGGGAATCCTGTGTGTAAAAAAACAAGACGCGGGGGGGGGGGGGGGGGCGAACACTCAACCCGTCATCAGGGAAGGAGGGAGTAGTATTCATATTGAGTAATTTGTAGGTGGAGGAGGAGGAGGTGGAGGAGGAGGAGGAGGAGGAGGAGGAGGAGGAGGAGGAGGAGAGGGAGGAGGAGGAGAGGACGGGGAGGGGGAGGAGGAGAGGACGAGGAGGAGGAGGAGGAGGAGGAGGAGGAGGAGGAGGAGGAGGAGGAGGGGAGGAGGAGGGGGAGGAGGAGGAGGAGGAGGAGGGGGGAGGAGGAGGAGGAGGAGGAGGAGGAGGAGGAGGAGGAGGAGGAGGAGGGGTGGAGGAGGGGGAGGAGGAAGGGGAGGAGGAGGAGGAGGAGGAGGAGGAGGAAGGAGGCGGAGGAGGAAAGGAGGAGGAGGAGAGGAGGAGGAGAAGAGGAGGAGGAGGAGGAGGAGGAGGAGGAGGAGGAGGGATGAGGAGGAGGGGAGGAGGAGGAGGAAGGAGGAGGAGGAGGAGGAGGGGGAGGAGGAGGAGGAGGAGGAGGAGGAGGAGGAGGAGGAGGAGGAGGTGGATGATCTTCTTCGATGCGTCGCTGCCGAGGGCCACGGATGCCTTCGTGTCGGAAGTTCGCGTTCTCTACGACATTCGGGGCACCCCGAGGATCCAAAACGAGTTTGAACACCAGGCGGCGCACACACGGATCCTGCTGGTTAACATGGGGAGGGAGGGAAGCAAACCAGGGAACTTAAACCAGGATGGTGACGGACGGCCCTCTCTTGCGCAGACTGCTGCAAAGATGTGCATCTGAAGATCGGTTCATCTTCTTCGCTGCATCGCTGCCGAGGGCCACGGATATCTTTGTGTAGGATGCTCGTTTTCTCTACAACATTTGGGGCACCACGAGGATCCCCAACCAGTTTGAAAACCACGCGGCGCACGCGCGGATCCGCAACCCAGTAGACGGCACACTTAGTCCTTGGCCGACTTTTGCGGCCGAGCAACAACAAACAAACCCGAGGAGCACGACCCCAGGGCCTGAAAGGGAGCCCTCAGGACCAACCAGACTACTGGAGAGCGTACCTTACGGCGATGCTGGTCGAGAAGCGCACGCTCGAAGCATCCGACTAGCCTTCGGCGCAGATTCCGAGGATAGGCCTCGGCTAGCTTGGTATAGAACCTTCCTGCAGGGTTCTTGCCTTCAAGTTGCATGTGGGGAATCCCTGAGAAAACACGCGCACACACACACACACACCGCCCAGAGCAACGTTTGGTCGCGAGGTCGAGGTCGACATTCGCAGCTCGAAAACGGGTGCGTTTTCGCCAGGGCAAGCCTTCGCCACAAAAATCAGCGTAAACATCTCGAGCGAGGACGGGAGCAGAGGAGGGCGACGGCGACGGCGGAGGAGGGAGGCGAAGTGCTGGGTGAAGCCATGCCCGGTTCCGACCGGGATTCTCGACCACGGCGGGAACTCTAACTTGGAAGCCTGTCTGAGTAGGCCTCCGGAAACGCTGGCCAGGGCAGTGCCCGTTCCCACGGCTGTCACGTCCCACGGCCGAAAACTAGGAAACCCCAACGGAGACGAAGCGTTTGTGAGGGACGCGGGTCCCTTGGGCCTGTTACGAGCAGTTACGCGGGTCCCTTGGGCCTGTTATTGCAAGGCAAACCTATCCACAGGGCTCGGAGCGAGCCGTCTTCCAGACGGGATCTCAACTTCTGAACACTCCCCCTAGACAGGTCGTGCTCACATCCAAACCTCAAGTCAAACTGAAAGATCGGGATCTGGCTCAGCCGCGGCCGCTGTCTCCAGGCCGCGCTGAAGCGACCCGTGCCGGAAAGCAGCTCCACGGCGAACCCTCGGCCTCTCGGGCGCGCAGCTCTCCGCCTTCGCATCGGATCGGCAGGGGCCGCGCGGTAGTCGACCGCTCGGCGCCCCCGGCGGCGCGGCGCACCGCCTGTGGCAGCCCGTGCAGCAGCTGGTTGACCCTGCCGCCCCTCTTGTACCTCACCGCCGACCTCTCTGTGAGTCACCGCCCTCGGTCCTGGATGCCCCGCAGGTCGCGCGCTCCCACCCGCGCGTCGTGCGAGGCTCCGCCGTGCCTCAGAATGTACAGCACCGACGTCGCCTCTCACTGCAGCCCGACAGCCTTGGCGGCGCTCTCGAAGATCGCGGCCCACTCGCGGTGGCTGAACGGGAACGCCTCGGCGTTGTCCACAACGATGCTCTCGTCCCTGGCGCCTGTCTTCAAGCTGACCACCAGCTCCTGGGGTGCAGGGCCACGCTCCACTTCAGGGCGGACCGCCGACGGCCCCCCATCTGGAGGTAATAGGTCGCACTTCCTGATCCTCAGCGCCTCGCACAGACTCAAGTAGTGAATGAAGGCGAAGACGACGGCGGCGCCCATGTGCCAGCTCCCCACGTCCACGGGGCGTTTCGCCGCCAGGCAGGCCGCAGCCCACGGCAGCGGCAGGCGCGCCCGCGGCGGGCCCAGCTTCGCAAAGCCCCGGCGGGCCACCTTCACTCGAGCAAGGTTAACACACCCAGGACCAGCCACGTGACGATGGTACGCGATCGCCGCCGCGTTCGACCTCCAGCCGTCGTAATGCATCTGGTTGAGCATCTCTACCACCGCCACCTTCAAGTCCGTGATGCGCTGGTGCCGTAGACCCTGCTTTCGCTCCCAGGCCAGGAACCTCTGGTACTGGTCGTGATACCCCGACTCCTGCCGCGCTGACACCGAGCGGCGTTCCAGCAGCGTGCGGGCGGCCCGAGCCGCCCCAGGCCGAGCCGCTGGGGGCGGATGGGCAGCGCGCCTCCCCGCTGCGCGAGCCTCGCGGCTCACGCCGACCTCTCGGGCCAGGCGGGGCTCGCGCTCGGGCCGCGGCCTTCGCCGCCCACTCCCGGGGAAGGCGTTCGTGGAACTGTGGCGCGTCGGCAAGCTCGCCTCGATCGCCGTCGCCGCAGTCCCCGCGGAGGACGCCCTCCGCCAGGAGGTCGGGCGGCTGTCCGAGCGGGAATCGGCTCCCACCCGAAGCGCCGCGGCGCCCCGCGGCAGCATGCTGCCCGCCCGCTGCCGCCCCGGGCTCCCAGGTGGAGGCGTGCAGACAGAGGCGGCCTCGCGAGGCCGCGTCAGCAGCGTCCCTGAGGGCACCCAGCGCCATTCGGGATGCAGGTTCACGGCCAGCGCCAGCGCGGCCGAGCGTCGAAGGGCACGGCGGAAGCCAAACGAGCCCCCGTGTCCGTAGGTTCGAGACAGGATTACGGACATCGCATCTCCGAGGATCAGGTGACGCTTGCCAGGGGCGGCTGAGGTCCAGAGTCCAGGTAGCAGAACGAGACTCCACATGGATTTGGTGATCTCCAGAGGCCCACGTGAGCGCAGCCATTCGGCACCAACGACCATCCCAGACACGCTGAGGAACAGGTGGGACCCGATCGAGCCCCTCGTGAAATAAATCTCCCCGAGGATAGTGAAAGTGATCATGTTCTTCTTGTTTTGCAAACCTCCATCGATCGTTGTAGGGTCTCAATGCCTTAACGTCGTTCACGTCGATAACTTTGCTCATCACCCCGCAAGCCCGAGACGACGTGTCGAACGCGTGGACCTCGGGGCTCCAACTCGCATCAAGCTCCCGAGACGTCACAGTCACGAGGGCGGCCATCCAGCAACACTCACGTATAACAGACGGCCACGATGAGGGGTGACGTTTTTGGTTCTGTTGGGCGAAGGCGAAGCAAGCCTGCGGGGCCGCGAGCACCTCTCTCCGAATCAGGCCCCGCGTCGTGAAGTGACGAGGAGCACCGAGACCTCTCGCCCGCTGGCCCCCCCAGGCTGGCCACGTGCAGGAGCGCCAGGCGTGGCCGCCAGGCGCTGCGCACGGACATCGAGCAGCGGCCCTGCTCGGTGAAGTGCCGGCCCAGCGTGTCGCCGCCCTGGTTGCCCTCCGCGTCGTGCATCGGAAGTGCGGCGGCAACCGGGCGCCCGCGCACGCGTGTGACCGCGTCCTCCACCGCGGAGCGGTTCCTGCCGAAACGCGCGAAGTTGTCGACGTACTCCGCGCGGGCGATGGGCGAGAGACCTGGCGGGGGCCTGCCGTCCACGAGGGCGTTCTCGAGGGGGGCGTCGGGCTCGCGGCGGGCGAGCTCCTCGCGCAGCGCCCGGCGCGCCCGCAGGGCCAGTGCCCAGCCCGTCGGCGGCGCCGCGATGGCGGGGTGGATGTAGTCCCCAGGCTGAACGGGGGCGCCCTCCACCTCGGTGACGCCCAGCTCCCAGGCCCGAATCTTGTCGAACCCGACTAGGTCGCGCAGCTGAGTTGGCATGGAGATGCCTTGATCCCTTGACGTCGGCGCCTCCGATGGTCAGCGGCGGCCCCGCGTCCAGCTGCAGGTCGGCGAAGCAGGCTCCGCTCGCGAGCTGCGCGGGGTCGGGGTCCTCGAAGAAGAAATTCGAGATCCTCGCGTCGATCGCCGACCGTTTGGCGCCCGACTTCTTCCATGCGCTCAAGCAACCGATTCGACGTCTTACGCTGCGCCGGAAATCTAGAAGGTTTAGCGGCATGATGAAGCCGCCTCAAGAAATCTATGTACACCTTTCTGCTGCGCAGAGCGGGGTCGGAGCGCGCCCGGCGCGGGCCCGGGGGCTTGAGTCTCGCCGCCCCCTCCACGCCGGGAAGCGCCTTGTCTGGAAGCCTCTTCTCGATCAACTCGCCTGCAGCGCCGGCGGCCGCGCCCGGAGAGACGGGGTGAAACCCCGGAGGAAGAAGGCCCAGCAGGTCCACGCGAACAGGGGCGACCCGCGACGCGGAAGCGTCGCGGGGCAGCTCGGGCCGAAGCTCGTCGAAGGCTCCTGGTCCGTCGAGATCGCCAGGTGGCGGCCCCAAATCCACGGCGCGCCGGCGAAAGTGATCCAGGGCAATGCTTTGCGCCGATGTCGGCCCCGAGCAATGGCAGGGCGACCCGCCGTCGCGCGCCCCGCGCATATCGTTGAGGGCGACCGCGAGCTCGTCGGCGACAGCATCGATGGCCGCGACGCGCTGAACCCGCCGCAGAACAGATCGGCAAGCAACGCTTCCCCCCACGATCACCACTAAGGTCCCGAAGGCGAGGGAGAGGAGAAAGGTCTCGCTGTCGCTGGTCTCGAACTCCAGCCTGGCGAGTGAATTCGACCCTGTGGTTCCCGTCGGGCCCGGGCCTTTGACCCGACGGGTGTCTCTCGTGCTCCATTGCCCATGGCGCGGCGTTCCTCCCGCGCCTTCCGCACTTGCTTCATCGCACTCGCATCTCTCTCGACCTCTCGGGCGACGACGTCCAGCAAGTCTGGAGATGCCATGCGCTCCCTGGTCTCGCGATGCCGCCCCATGAAGGAATCACTCTCGTCCAGCAATCCCCCTCGCCAGCGGCCCTTGCCACGGTTCTTCTTGTCCTTCCCGTCCTTCTCGTCAGGTGCGGCATGGCCTCCCGCGGGCTCGCGGGGGCGCGCGTGCTCGACCAGATGCCACTCTCGAGCAATGATCTCCAAGCAGGCGCAGTTCGCGACCTCAAGCGCATCGTAGCTGGCGGCCACCTCCAAGGCTCGAGGTCCATTCTCGTAAACCTCGACTCCCCAATCTCCACGCTGAAGGCGGTTCACCTGCCGCCACCACGCATGATGGTGTCCAGGTCCGCCTCCCCGCCTGTCCAGAAACCACATCGCCCACTCCGCGGTGCGAGGGCCCTGCGCAAGCCAGTCCTGGAACGGCGTCACCACCCCTTGTTCGACCACCTGACGCCGCGGGCGCCGCTGTCTCCTATCCCCGACCAGCTCGATCGGCATGATGCGGGCGTCGGCGATCGTCTCGCGGCGCACGTGGCTCTCGACCTCCCTGGACGGCACCGGGGCGAGGCGGCGCCGGGGTCGGAGCTCCGCCCTCGCCCGCTGCGCCCGCGGGAGCGCCCCCAACGGCTCCGCCAGCGGCGGGGGGCCCCGCCGAGCGCACCAGGGCGGCCCCCAGCACCCATAGCCTCTCCACCTCCCACCGCTCGAGCCGCTCCGTCTCCCTGGCTGGGGAAACGCGGCGCGGCGTGCGGTGGGCGCCCTGGATCGGCCAGCGGCGGCAGCAGAGCGCCTCCGGCAGGCTCCAGCCCAGGTCCTCCCGCACGGCGGCCCCGCAGCACGTGCTCGTCTCGGGCCGCGATCCTCGCCAGCCTCTGGAACTCCTGCAGGTCGGCGGGCGTCGGCTCTCGCCTGCACCCGTAGGAGCCCCGAAGGACCCCCAGAGGTGGAGGGCGTCGGCTCTCGCTCCACCGCGCGGCAGCAACGTTCGGGTCGGTCCCGCCGTGCGTCTCACAGTACACGTCGCTGTCGGGCGCGGCCACCAGCACATCATGCGCTTCCGTTGGAAAACCCGCCAAGACTCCGAGCACCAGCCGCTGGTGGAACATGGCGGCCCTGGCGTACTGGACCCACGCCCACTCCTGCACGGTCGGCTGCGCCATCTCTCAGAGCAGGGGCTGCAGGTCTCGCCACCGCCAAAAGCGCTTGCCGGCACGCGCGGGCTGAAAGCAGCACCGCGAGCAGCAGCCCGTGCACGAACACGCCGACGGCGCCTCCGAGCAGCTCGAGGCTCAGGTTCAGCGCCCACCCCAGCGCGGCCCAGCCCCCCCCCCCCCAGCGGCCGAGGGAACCTCGATGGCCTCCTCGGCGCGCGTGGGGACTCGGGCCTCGGCGGCGCCTCCCGGCGGACAGGGCCCCCTCCTCCGATGCCCGGGGCTCACGTGCGGGTTCGGGGCAACTGAGGGAGGGGCAGTGCACCGCCGCCGCCGCGGGACACTCCAGCGACGGGCACGCGGGCGCCTCCGCGCAGAGCAGGTCGGGGCAGCGCGGGCAGGCCGCGAGCGCGCGCCGGGCCCGATCCACCCCCGGATTGCGTGACCCACGCTGCCGGCCAGGCGATTGCGGCCGAGACTGAAGGGCTCGGGCGCCTGATGAACTTAAGCCAGGATGGTGACGGACGGCCCTCTCCTGCGCAGACTGCTGCAAAGAGGTGCATCTGAAGATCGGTTCAGGAGGAGGAGGAGGAGGAGGAGGAGGAGGAGGAGGAGGAGGAGGAGGACGAGGAGGAGGAGGAGGAAGAGGAGGAGGAGGAGGAGGAGGAGGAGGAGGAGGAGGAGGAGGAGGAGGAGGAGGAGGAGGGGTATGTCCCTCTACAGGAGGAGTACTCAAGAATAGTAAAAAGTAGTATGTGGACGATTTGTCGCCTATTTTTGACTATTTTTGCATATGGTTTGGCTCTTTTTCACTTGTCCTCCAATATCCGCCTGTACGAGGACATGCCCGTCCTAATGCAACGATAGGGGGGGGACTGGCATTAGGGGGTGAACATCGACCTGCAATCGGCGATGCATCGCCGATAGATCGGCGATAGGCCCCCGATAGCGAATCCGCACCTTCCTGGGCAGGCTGGGGCTATCGGGCCCCTATCGGCGATCAGTTGGCGATTGGGGGTCGATGCGTCCCCCCCTGTGCCTACCCCCCCGTATCGTTGCCCCCGAGCAGGGGGCGGCCCGTCACTGGTGCGCCAGCCAGGACAGGTACACGGTCCGGGGGTTGCCAAGGGTGCCCCTGGCCCAATCCAGACCGCCTCGCGCCGTGAAGAAGTCACGACGGAAGGTGCTTCGCTGTCCTCGGCCCCCACGGGGCCCCTACCAAGCCTCGGCGCACTCAAGAAATCGACTCGGGATGAAAAACCGGTCCCGGGGAAGGGGTCCAGACCTCCGGGGCCGACGCTGCGAGAAAATCGCGACGTGTGGGGTCTGGGAACGTGCCCCCCAGCAGTTTGCTCAATTTTTGTGAGCCCCTGGGGGCCATCTGAGCCTCGTGGGGGGTGCTCTGCCGAGGCCGTGGGGGCCTCCCTGGAACTCCAGGGGGCACCTTGGGCCCGGGGCACTTCTGGCAGCACCCGAATGGTCCAGCCGCAGTTGACGCAGCTCATCGTCACTGTCCGGAGCTGCTGGGGGATGCAGTACAAATTCATCGTGTTCACGACGATCCAGAAGGGGAAGCTCCGGCTGGTGAGCGGGACTAGGTCCGCCTCCAGGCGTCGCTGCACCCTCTGCGGCGCCGTGTCCAGCGGCAGCTCTCGCATGGTCTCTATGTACGAGAGGAAGCAGGTGTTGAAGATGGGGGACATCATGAACTGGTGGAAGAGCAGCTTCAGCGGGTTCATGCCCGGCCCGAACCACACGTCCAGCCGCCTGTACCTCGCGGGCTTCCAGGGGCCTCTTGAGATCTCCGCGGATCTCCGGAGGTCCCCAGGCAGGCGCGCCTCCAGAGGTCCTGAAGGCCCCCAGAGGCCCGAAAAGGATCAACATCGTGTAGAGAAGACCTCGATGGCGCGCGCGCCTGAAGAGGACCCTGGAGGTCCTGGGGGCCCTCTGCAGGTCCAGATAGCACTAGACACATGCAAAGAAGACCTCGATCCTCGATCCTCGAAGGCTGGAGGAGGAAGAGGCTGTACCAAGGCGGGAGCGCGACGCCGAGCAAACCGCCCCACGCGACCATCGTCGTCCAGCGCCGGATCCCGCTGGATCGGGTGCTGCCAGAGGTGGTGGCCCTGGCCCAAGACGGCCCCAACCTTCCCGTGAAGGCCCATATTAGCGACGATAAAAAACGGGTCTTACGCGAGATGGCGCAGCGACCTTATGCGGTGGCTTACGCGGCCCGCCGGCGCGGCACGCTGCATTGGAGACGAGGGCGCCGACGCGCAACCTTACGCGGGCAGCTTGCGCGCCAATGTCGGCGCAGACGACCCCGTTTGAGGAGGAGGAGGAGGATGAGGAGGACGAGGAGGAGGAGGAGGAGGAGGAGGAGGAGGAGGAGGGAGGAGGAGGAGGAGGACGAGGAGGAGGAGGAGGAGGAGGAAGCAGGAGGAGGAGGAGGAGGAGGGGGAGGAGGAGGAGGAGGGGGAGGACGAGGAGGAGGGGGAGGAGGAGGAGGAGGAGGAGGAGGAGGAGGAGGAGGAGGAGGAGGAGGAGGAGGAGGAGGAGGAGTACCCTTCACACGGCCCGGAGGGCCCCGGCGGCTCCCGCGCGGTTCTGTCACAGCGTGGCTCCCAAGAGGCCCGGACCCCTTGCCGGGGACCTGCTCTGCACCCCGAGCCGTGTTCTTCGTCGGCCCTCGCGGGGCCCCGGCGAGGGCCGCAGGCAACTGCGGAACGGCCCACAAAAACCCGCCCGTCGTGTCGTTCCACGACGCGAGGATGCCAGGGCTGGCACGCGGAAGCCGGGGACTCCTGGCACAGGAGCACCTCTGTAGAGGCCTCCTAGATGGGGTCGGAGTAGACGGCGTCGGAGGATCTCCCCGCATCGCCGATACATCGCCGATACATCGGCGATGCATCGGCGATGCATCGGCGATGCATCGGCGATGCACCGGCGATGCATCGTCGACGCACCGGCGATTCCCCAGCGACGCCGACGTGAAGCAGATCGGGCGGCACATCGAGCCACATCGGCGATGCATCGGCGAGGCGGCGCGATCCGCCGACCCCTATCTAGGAGGCCTGGGCCCTATCTAGGAGGCCTAGACTCTATCTAGGAGGCCCCTCCTCCTCCGACCCCTATCGAGGAGGCCTAGACCCTATCTAGGAGGCCTAGACTCCATCTAGGAGGCCCCTCCCACTCCGACCCCCATCGAGGAGGCCCAGAGACTCCAGCAGCACCCGAGCTGGAGTGTGCCCGCTCCTCCAGGGGCTCCTCCCCGCCGCCCGGGGCGGCCCGCCTCGCGTGCGCCTCGAGCGCCTCTCGGTGCGGAGGGGGCGGGCGGTGCCTCGGTGGTGGTGCTGCTGGTGCTGATGGTGGTGCTGCTGATGCTGATGCTGATGCTGCTGCCGGTATGGATGGCGGTGGTGCATGCTGATGCTGATGCTGATGAGGGCGATGCTGATGGCAATGACGATGCTGCTGATGCTGATGCTGATGCTGATGATGATAATGATGATGCCGATGTCGATGATGACGACGATGACGGTAATGGGGATGATGCCGCTGCTGATGATGATGATGATGCTGATGGTGGTGATGATGACGATGAGGATGATGACGAGGATGATGATGATGATGATGATGATGATGATGATGATGATGATGCTTGTGATGATGATGCTGATGATGACAACGACGATGACAATGACGATGATGGTGATGACGATGGTGACGATGATGATGATGATGATGATGATGATGAAGATGATGCTGCTGATGCTGATGATGATGCTGCTGCTCATGATGCTGCTGCTGATGGCGATGATGCTGATGCCGATGCGAATGCTGCTCATGATGCTGCTGCTGCAGCAGCTGATGATGATGATGATGATGATGATGATGATGATGATGATGATGATGATGGTCATGATGATGATAATGGTGATGCGCGGCTCATGATGCTGATAGTGGTGGTGCTGGTGACGACGGTGAGGACGAGGGCGGAGATGCTGCTGATGATGATGACACGGGCGACGAGGATGATAATAGTTCTGACGATGATGGCGATTATGATGACGCCGATAACGATGTGACGATAACGCTGCTGTGACTGGTGATGGCGACGGCACAAATGATAACGAGCTTGATTGATCTGATAAGGACAACGATGACGACAATGATGACGATGACCATGGCGATGGTGTAAATTACGGAGAAGCTGCTGATGATGATGATGATGAGTCTGATGTCAAGGTGGTGATGTCCTGGCCGTTGTCTTCATGGTGGTTGTCAGGAGGGCAATAATCGGGGAGGGGAATCTTGCAAATATGCGGATGGCACAAGCGTGGCGGACAGCATCGTGTCGGCAGCGCGGTGGCCCAAGCAAAGCAGCGCGACGTCCGCCTGCGACACGACCGACACGCGCTCCAGCTTCCAGAGCCACTGCCGCATCAAGGCGCTGGATCGCGTTTCCTTGATGGTGGCCCAGTTAGGCGACCATCATGCCGAGGAATGGGTCCGACCGTTGGTAGAAGCGAACGTACTGCTCGTAGCTCAGCCCGGCCGCTTCTTCCCCGTACCTCGTGCCCTTGTCCTGGAAACCGGTGCCCACCGCCTCCGCTGCGACCGCGTACGCGTGCACGTTCCAGGCCACATGCGAGTTTCGGATCGTGCCATCCCACCACCATGCATGGGTGGCCGTTGGTGCTCTGACCACAACATCGAGAACAGCCCAGCGGCTTGCGAAGCTCACGCGGACAATGCGTGATACAGGCATCCACGTGATGACGAGTGGGAGCGGCACTACAGTCTCCGATCCAGAGGAGGCCGCAGGACAAAAAGAAGTATGATGCAACGAGTCCATCGGTCAACGAGCGACGCTGGTCAGAACATAATCACTCGTCAGTCTTTGGGAAACCTGAATCAAGCTGCGTGGCGGGAAGCATACCGGCAAGCGTTTCACCATGCCACTTCCCATGCACACTTTTTTTGGTCGGCGGGTCGAGAGCGGGCCTCTTCCGGTTAAGAGCTAGGCGGGGCGCGCGAAGCCTTAATTGGGGAGACAGGGCGCGGGCGGGCGGGGCCTCAGGCGGCCGGAGGGTGCGGGGTTCAGGCGGTGCCGAAGAGCTTGCACAGGAAAAGGAACGCCTTGGACAGGAGCCGGAGGCGAAGTCCCGGAGGGTGAGCGGCGTGGTGTTGCCGTCGACGGCGCATCGAAAACACCATCCTCAAGTGCTTCCCATGCACACGCAGACGCAAACGAAACATCCAACGGCGACCTTCCTCCCGCTCTGCGGCCTGCCGGCAATCCGCGGCCAGTGCCAGATGGGCTCCCTGTTGACTGTACATGCTAATCTGTAGCCCCTTGGTCCAAGTAAAAACCATCAACATGGTAGCGGAGCGGCGTGGGTTCGTTCCCGCCGCCGCTTCCCTTCCAGCCACCCGCGGCGCGCGCGCGCGCCAGCAATAGGGCAGCGGCGAGGGCCGCGCCCTGGCGGCTGGCAGCGGCGGGGGCCGCGCCAGCCGGCCCTTCTTAGCCCAGCACGCCGCCGAAGAAGAAGAAGACGAAGCGAGGCTCAAGGTCGAACAAGGCAGACATCCTGAGGAGCAGGAAGTTCGACGAGAAGCTCGATCTGAAGTATGGAAGAGATCGAGCGACGCTTCCAGGCGCTCGAGGGAGCGTTGCAGGCTGCCGAACAACGGGTGCAGGCTGCAGAGGAGCGCGCCCTGGCGGCGGAGTCAGCAGCAGCGAGCGCAGGCGCCGCCGCGAGCAGGCCCGTGGCAGCGGCGAGGGCCGCGCCACAGGATCTGGTGGACACTCGGCTTCTAGCGAAGCCGAAGGCGTTCGGAGGCAGCGAGGACGAGTGGCCAGGGTGGAGCTTCAAGATGCTCGCGTACCTCGGGGCTCTCGACGAGCAGATGGCCAACGAGCTGACGGCGGCCATGACGTTCCCGCTGGAGGAGGTGAGGAACGCGAGGCTCCTGGAGGAAGGAGCGAGTCAGCGCAGTCGTCAGCTGTACTTCATCCTCGTCCTGCTGCTGGAAGGAGCTGCACTCCAGCTCATCAAGCCAGTCGGCGTCGGAGAAGGGTATCGGGCTTGGAGGACACTACAAGACATGTACGAGCCCGACAGACCCGGTCGCCACGCAGGACTGCTGCAAGAGCTGATCGCGTTCCAGTTCCCAGAGGACAACATCGTGGGGATGCTGGCGGACTTCGACTTCAAGGTCACGAAGTACGAGAGCCAGAGCCACGAGAGGATTGGGGACAGGATCAAGATGGCGATCCTTCAGCGGGGGATTCAGGACGAAGCTCTTCGAGCGCACCTGGTCCACAACGCGTCGAGGCTAGTCACGTGGGAGCTCATGCGCAACGAGGTGCACATGGTGATCTCGACGAGGAGCGCCATCTCAGCAGTGCCGCCACCAGTTCCGATGGACACGAGCGCGGTGGAGAAGGCGAGGCGCGAGCGCGACAAGGGCAAAGGAAAGAAGGGCAAGGAAGGCAAAGGCAGGAAGGGCAAGGGCGGCGACAACTCCACGGACCAGAGGAGCCAGGCGGCCAAGGACAGGGCCGAGAAACGGTGCTTCCACTGCCACAAGACCGGTCACGTCAAGAGCGAGTGCAGGAAGTTCCTCGCAGAGCAGAAGAAGAAGAAGGGCACCAACGCGGTCGAGCAGGAGTCGAAGCCGACGGGAGCTCCACCAGCGGCGAGCGCCGCGGGGAGCGCGGCACCGGTGATGGCGATCGCGACCGAAAGCGGGGCAGAGCCACTGTGGTGCCTCGCGATCGAGCTGGAAGAAGGGCAAGAGTCGTTATCGAGTGGAGCAGCAGCGACGCCCTCAGCACCAGCGACGACAGCGATCCACCTTCGTTCGAGCGGGCCGTCAAACGAGCACGCGCAGCAGAGGCAGCCATTCTTGGTCGGGGCCAGCCCGATCGAGCAGCTGAGCCAGCCAGGGGCAGCAAACGAGCACGAGACGTTCGAGAACAAGGAGATCATCGGTATCAATGAGCACTGGGTCATGGTGGATTCGGGTGCTGCGCGATCGGTGTGCCCGCCGAGTCACGGGGCCCACGAGACACTCAGAGACCTGAGCGAGCGCATCAGGCTGGTCGGAGCGAGCGGCGACGACATCCCGTGCCACGGCGAGCGCTTCGTCACGTACGCGAAGGACGGGCACAAGATCGGGGTGGACTACAAGGTCGCCGACGTCAAGAGGCCGGTGCTGGGCGTGTCGCAGGCGGTCGACAAGGGCACGTCGTGGGTGTTCACGCCGAGCGGGAGCTACATGATCCCGAAGCCGATCGAGTTCTCGGACCCAGACGCCGTGCCGCTGGTCAGGCGCAACGACTTGTTCTACCTCAAGATGGACAGGTACGGTGAAGGCGTCAAGAACTCGCTCGTCATGCCGGTGCGGGGCGAGGAGCCAGGAGGCGAGCCCGGCGGCGCATCAGCCGCGTCCAGGGCAGCGGCGAGGGCCGCGCTCCAGGGCGGCGGCGGCGGAGGGGCTGCCGCGACCCGCGCTCAGGCCGAGGCGAGCGAGCCGGCAGCGCAGGCAGTGCTCGAGGAGTCCGTGCCAGTTCGAGTCAAGAAGGATCCGGTGAAGCCAAGCCTGGCCGAGCAGAGGACGCACGAGCTGGTGCACATTCCGGCGAGGTCCTGGTGCTGGGTGTGCGTCAGATCCAAGTTCACGGACGACCCGCACTACAAGGCCGGGCACGAGCGCACGGGCGACGAGGTCCAGATCGACTACTACTTCCTGGGCCAGCTGAGCATCCTCAACATGGTGCACATGAACTCCCAAGCTATTCATGGCATCATGGGGCCGAAGGGTACCGACGCCTACATGGTCAAGACAGCGGTCGCCACCATTGAGAACTGGGGGCTGGATCGCATCGTGCTGAAGCACGACCAGGAGGCGTCGATCACGGCCCTGGCGAGGGAGATCAAGGCTCAGCGGAAGGCGCCCACGATGATCGAGTCAGCTCAGCGGGCTAACCATCAAGGAGTCGGTGGAGTGGAGCGCGCCAACGAGGAGCTCGGCAAGCAGATCAGGGCGCTGCTGTTCTCGGTGGGCGACAACTACAAGCGGGAGCTCCCAGCCGAGCATGGGCTTCTACCTTGGCTCATTCGGCACGCTGGCTGGCAGCTCAACCGCTTCACGGTGCACGGCAACGGCAAGACGACCTACGAGGTGCTCAAGGGGAGGCCGTATCGGGGCGAGCTCGTCAACTTCGCGGAGTGCGTTTGGGCGAGGGACCCCACGCCGACCTCCAAGCTGCAGCCTCGGTGGCACGCGGCGGTGTGGCTGGG